AGCTTGCAATTAGCCATGTGATTCACCCTCTGCACCTGTAAACCTTGTCTTGCCTATATATATATACCACCCAAATCTATGCATTTATTAAACACTGGCAGAAATAGAAACCTGAGTTCGAGTTCTTCTGGCAGCAAGGGCCAGGACACACTCTGTATAGCCTACCTTTCAACCAACATGTATTGACAGGATAATCTGACTGGGTTGCCCCAGCCACTCTGGGCAGCTCCCAACAGAATATTAAAAACACAATAAAACATCAAACATTAAAAACTTTCCTAAACAGAGCTGCCTTCAGATGTCTTCAAAAAGTCTAACAGTTGTTTATTTCCTTGACAACTGATGTGAGGGCATTCCATGGGGCAGTTGTGACTACTGAGAAGGCCCTCTGCCTTTGCCCTATTGAAAGATTAAAGAGTGATACAGACAAAAATGGTCCTAGCTATGATGGGGACTAAGGCACTAGCAGAAGAGACTTGAAAAAAAGTTAGACAAATACATGAAGGATGTGAAGGTATGAGGGAGGAATCTGAGGACTGATGGTTCCCCTGTTTTCTGGGTCTGCCCCACTACCAGACCTTCACTTCTCTAGTCCAGAGGCAGAATACAATTGTGGGTGGGTGGTTCTCTCCATTTTGTGAGATTAAAAACAGGGAACTTCGCTAACTGGGCCATGCGTCCCATCCAGCAAGCTAATCCTTGCATTCCAAATGTTTGTATTGTTTAAAAGAGGTCTAAGAAAGGAGAACTTTGAATTGCTTTGGAGACTAGAACACAACATACAGTAAATGCAAACACACATAAATACGAGCACATTTTTAAAAAATCCTCTTTGGAAGCCACTCAATTGTCAAATTTCGTTAGATCTGCTTTATGAAGCAAAAGCAGAGCTTATGCACACATTCAGTGCAACAAAGGATTTCCTACTATGCCGCAGGAAATCTGACAAACCCAACGATTCACTAATTGACGTATGTTCCAGTGCTCTGAGCGGGGAAGGGGAGACGACAAAACCCTATCCTCCCCCTTTTGAAGTAAACAGCTTTAAAGCAAATCTTCACGAAGCACTCTAATAATCCATAGTCTATCTTTGAGTGAGTGATGCATAGATGTCTTTGAGACGGTTCAGTTACTCCCCGGTAAGCATGTATAAGATAGCATGTATAAGATAGTGCAGCCTGCATTTGGCTTCCCAGGTGATGTTGAGTTACGTATTGCATAATTTGTCCAAGGCACTAAATCAACCTTTGCCAACCTAGTGCCCCCTATTGTCTGGTGGGGATGGGAGTTGTAATCTAAGCTGCCCAGAGGTCACCTGGTTGATGAAGGCTCTTCTAAGGCATGGGGATATTTTATTTGTTTGTTTCTTTATTTAGGAGAATTAATTAGAGAATCCCTTATGAGGAAAGTGTTAAGTTGTGGGTGAACATATCAGACAACACAGTGATTCTTCAGACAGCTCTTGTTTATTCACAGGCCAGAACAGAAGTGAACTGAAGGGTTCAGCCAACCTGCTTATATAGAGCTCCACTACAACACAACAGTAACAACTTTCTGTAACTATCCAATCACTGAACATCACTTTCAATTCCTTATTTGCATATGCGGACCTGAGTGAAAACTATCTACAGTATCCCCCTGCTGGCCCAGGGTGAGAACTTCAGTACATAACAGAAAGTTTGCAGCACAAGGGGACAAGATCGAAGTTTTATAAAATTATTCATGGCCTGGAAAAAGTGGGTAGAGAAAAAGATTTCTGCACTGCTACAACACCTGAGCCTCTAGTGACAAAGCTTTATCTAGGAGCACTGCTAAATCACGTACCTGCTCCTTCCGAGGTAGGGCACCCAAATCCAGACAGGCAACTGACCTATTTCTCAGGCATGAGAGCCACTTGCCCACAGAGCCCTCCCCCTTCCGGGGCTTCAGACTGAATTTTTCCCCTTGTCCAGCTTGCTGCAGCAACGAGGCAGTGCACTGGTCCAGGGCCACAAAACTACAAACAACAGGGGTCCCCACATATGGTAACACAAACAGCAACATGACCTGGAACTTTGTGAAAGCTTAATAAAAATGTACATGTATTGAAGTCTCATGGTTGCAATGTACTTTACAGACAATGAATAAACCTATCAATAGTGTGGAGTGCTGGTAAGGGTTGGTTTTGACATTATTACTATTATTATTATTATTATTATTATTATTATTATTATTATTATTATTATTATTCATATTATTATTATTTATATACTGCCCTATACCCGCAGGTCTCAGGGCGGTTTACAGAATAAAATCAAAATATAAAACCACAAAATCCATAATCAAAATAAGAACAACAACCTAATAACACCTCCCCCCCAACCCACATTTTAAAAAGGCATAAGATGTCAATCAAATCAACCAAAGGCCTGGTTTATTAGAGTGTGCATGTGCACAGGCACATATATAGATGAGAGATGCTTCATGAGTCATAATGTCCTTTTTGCCCATGGCCCCATACTCCAAGTTACCTTGCCGCTTCAAATGGCATAAAGTGAACCCTATATCCACGTTCTCAATGCTGAGTAATAAACAAACCATAAATCTAGAAGTGAAGTTGGGGAGAGTCAGCTAACTTACTTTCATTAGTGCAATTTTTATTAAAGGGTATTTTACCTATTTATGAAGTGCACAGAATGCTTTTCACCACAATGTGGTCCACACCTCACAGCTTCCAATCAAACACAATAAAACCAGGACAATTAAAACTGAGGACAACAAAGATCGGCAGGCAGCAGTTAACGTTAACTTGACAGCAGCACAGAGACTTGGCCTGAGAGAACAGTTATGCTTTAACTAGGCAGCAGCAGCAGCAGCTTATCAAAGGTGTAGCCATCAATATTTTCCTAGGCATGGAGGGGGGAAATTCCAGAGTTAGGCTCCTCTTAGTGATTGCATTCCGCCTTGCATCTTCCCGGACAGCAACATTTGCCAGTGGGATGAGAAGGGCTCACTCTGCCAATCTCAAGAGTCCAGGTTAGCTGTAATGCAGATGCAAACCTCCGTATCTTCACGGAGGTGACCATACAAGTAGGTCTGCTTGGTTAATGTAATCGTTGTCAAGTTCGCGTAAGTACCAATTCCTTGGTGAAAATTCTTCTCCTTCTGAGCTGCAATTAGAGATTCTGTGTAGTTGTAATCCGGCCACTTGTATGGAGATAACAGAATCCCTCCTGCTGTGAAGCAAACCACAGAGAATATGGTTTTCATAAAAAGCTGGTCTTCAGAAACCCAATGTGTCCAACCATGGAGGCAGAGTATAGTCAGAAAGACTAGTAGCTGTTGAAATTGAAGTTTAACTATGTGCCATGTGAGTAAATACTTTATCTGTCCCGATTCCTCCAGCCTCCAAGCTTCATTGGATGCCCATGAATTCTAGAGTTATAGGAGAGGGAGACCCAATGAGCATATACAAGAAATTAAGGTTTCACCCCAACATATACAACTTTACACTTTTCTTTTACTTTGAACTGCATTTGCCAATTTACCACCTGAAATATACTCAGAGTCGAGAGTGGATTTCATGCTCTTTATTCAGCTCATAGTGGTGAGGAGGAATGGAAGTTCCCAGTGTGGTGTAGTGGTTAAGAGCGGTGGTCTCGTAATCTGGTGAACTGGGTTCGCATCCCTACTCCTCCACATGCAGCTGCTGGGTGACCTTGGGCCAGTCACACTTCTTTGAAGTCTCTCAGCCCCACTCACCTCACAGAGTGTTTGTTGTGGGGGAGGAAGGGAAAGGAGATTGTTAGCCGCTTTGAGACTCCTTAGGGTAGTGATTAAGCGGGATATCAAATCCAAACTCTTCTTCTTCTTCTTTATATACATTATTTACACAATGGGCCCCACGTGATTGGCTAATTCCGGGATTCTCCTGTAGGCCAATCAGGTTGCAAATTTACTTCCACCTGGAGCTGGATTGGGTGGCTCCTGTGGACCAGTCAGACTGCTGCATTCTGGATCCTATTGTTCTAGGACCAATCAGGCTGCTGCATTCTGAATCCTATTGTTCTAGGACCAATCAGACTGCTGCATTTTGGATCCTATTCAACTCAGTACATAACACCACCCATTCACTGTGTCATCCTTTTGGTGCTCTCCACCTTGTTTTCACCACCCTGAACCATTTAGTACAGGGCCACTCCTGATCCTTGTGGGGTGAGGGGTGGGGACACTCCATTTCTACATCTCTCCCTGCAGAGAACTGTTCCTTTATCCTTACTCCCTGCTCCCTGCTACATAACCAAGTCCTGATACAGGAAGTCCTCTCCTCTTGAATCATAGAACTGTAGAGTTGGAAGGGAGTTGGAGGATCATCTAATCCAGGTATGTCCAACAGGTAGATCGTGATCTACCAGTAGATCACTGGACATCTGTGGTAGATCACCGGTTCCCCCCCAAAGAAGCCTGCACCCCTAAAAAAGGAGGCTTTCCTCCTCCCAAATAAAGCTCAACAACTTTGACCTGAACCCCCCAAAAGGGGGTAGATTACTGCCAGTTTTTAACTCTGTGAGTAGCTCGCAGGGTCTTGGCAGCTGTTCACCCACCCCAATTCCATTGCAGGAATACGGGGATCGAACCTGCAACCTTGGCATCATCAGCACCGCGCTCTAACCAACGGAGCCATTTCTTATTCCATAACTGCGCAGGTTGCTCAGGAGTCTTTGGTGAGGCGCCTTGTAAAAAAAAGAAAAAAGAAAGCCTTTTGAAAATCTAATGAGTGTTTACGAACAACGGAGATGCTGTACGCTGGGAAAACAGAAGTGACCTGTTGAACGTCTGCATGCCTCTCATATCATCCGGTCATTTTTTTTTAAGGCTCAGGAGACCTGCCAAGGGGGAACACACACACTCCATCTGCGTGTGCGTAATGTGTGTGTGTTTGGCATCGTAGCTGGGGACTCAGGTGGTTGGCTGGCTTAGCAATTTCCTTTGCACGAGGCAGAAGCCGGAGCAGGAGGCGGAGAGAGGAGAGCCTGTCCCCCTTTGTCTGCTACTGCTGCGGCTGAGCGGCCCGGGAAAGGGGGCGTGGCCAGGCAGCAGCGAAGGCGGCTCCTCGCGCGGACTAGTTGCTTGTGGAGACTCCAGCTGGCGCCGCCGCCGCCACAGCCAGCATCGGGGCGGACCATGTTCCGAGGAAGCTGGGGACAGCCAGGCAGCCGCGCGGGCTCCGCCACCCCAGGGAGCTGGAACTGGTAACGCGCCCCAAGCTGCTGCTGGGGGAGGCCCCTCCCCAGCCCCCCAGAGACGAAGCCACGCCGGGGGGCAGCAGCAACCTCAGCACCAGCTTCACCGCCAGCTCGGCGAGGAGCACCAACAACAACAGCGCCAGCAGCAGCAGCAGCAGCACCTCGGGGTCCAGCAGCACCATGGATCTCTCCTTTATGGCCGCGCAGGTAAATGGCGAGAGGCGGCGTCCCGACCCCACCCCGTCGAGGGTCCGCTGAGCCTTCGAACCATCCCTCTCCGCGCCCCCGAATATTGGGAGGGGTGGTTTGCAACAGCGGATACCCCCCCCCCCCAAGATGCGTGGGTCATCCATCTCTGACATCCGTAGCCGTCGTGATGAATGAAAGGGGATTTTGCGTAAAGCGCTTAGGATTCCAGCGGAACCGCTTTGAGGTTCTGGGCGACTAAGCGGAATACAAGTGAATACAGTGAAATGAATGGAGGATGCTTTGGATAGAGGGGCGACCTCGAAGCCGCCCCTCGCTAGGAAAGGGTGTTGCGGTTGCACAGGTTTATGGGTGGATGCTTTGAGATGCACTGCCCCCCCTCCTTTTCTATTTTTAGGCGAGGAACAGGAGGAGGGGAGTGGGGAAGCCTCTCTGTCTCTCCCCGCTCCCTCTCCCCCTTTGTTACTTTCCAGTAACAAGAGGTTTTAGGGCTTAGTGAAATAACCCCGAGAAGAACGTGGGGATGGAGGGATAAAGAGGTTTGTGCAAGATTTTTGTTTCTCCCTTTATTTTGAACGCAACAAGCCAATTTCCCCCTGAAGGAGATGAAGGGCTGCGTCTGCCTTGCAGCAGCAAATAATAGAATTCTCCAACTGCACTGATTTCTTTCATTTGCTTAAGACGTTTCTGTCCCACTTAATAATTTGCATTTCTAATAATAATAATGTATTATCCGTCCTTCACCCTAAGGTCCCAGGGTGTATGCAAAATTCAGTATGCTTGGAAACCTGTTAACTGTGGGATAATTAGATTTGGTGGTGTGTAGCATGAGGAAGTACACTTCCCTGTGGGGATAGAGCAGATGGGTAGGAATAATTTTCAACCCCCCCCCCAATACTTCTATGTATATATAATGTAACAGCACTATCCTCTATGTTTACTCAGAGTAAGCCCCACTAAGTGCAATGGGATTTACTCCCCATTATATAGATATAAGACTAGAGCTTTACCTGTGCTTGTCTACTGAGAAATAAGCCCCACTGTCCTGCTCTGTGCCTGATCCATCCATCCTCTCTGTCTTGACCTACCCATACAGCATAGCCATGCTGACTATGGATGATGGGATTTGTAGTCCAAAACATCTGGGAAGTATCAGGTTAGCAAAGTTCGATCTACTGTTAGATTTCTGGCTTGCAGTAGATAACAAAGGATTTCCAACACACAGCTGTTTAACAATAGCAGCAGCAGCAACAACAGCAGCAGCAGCAACAACAACAACAACAGAGAGAGAGAGAGAGAGAGAGAGAGAGTTAGCTGCTGATATGAGTGGGGGACAGGGACTTAAGGGAAAACAACGAGTGCAGTTTTGTATGCGAAGACTGAGAACTGAGTTCCTAGGCATGCATACCACAGGTGCTCTGTTCCTTAATTCTAAGGGTGTATCCACCCCTTTCCTAAACCACTATTTTCACAGAATCATAGATATGTATTCTGGACTGGATTGGACTAGGCTCCAGCTGGCAGACTTCTGTATTCTAGGGTAAACAAACAGTTGATTCTGCAAGCTTGATGTCTGCCCACCCCTGCCCTATGGTAAAAGGTTTAGTAGAGCCTCAATGAAGGATTAAAGTTTAATTTCCTATATGGAAGAGTTGAAGGGAGGAAGCTCCTGCCGATTCTTATCTCCCCAGCTGGTTTCTTGACTGACCTCATATAGTGTCAGTGAAGTCGATCATAGGATAATCAGTGTTAGGAACTGAGATATGAAAGCTAGGAGCTAAATGGCACCTTAAACCTAGGTTATGGGCACAACAACGGAATGTCTTTTTTAATAACAAGAATACAAAGCTGAACATGAATGAAATGCAGCTAAAATATTATGTTCATTTTTTACATGGTCTAGTCCTTCCCCTGCCCAGCCCACTAATATTCTTACAAGGGTCTCTTCTCCAGTCTTCAGAGAGTATCTGGAAGTGGGGAGGCAGAAAAAGGTCCTCTTTTCCTTCCTCTTCAGTTTTAAATCTGAAATCTTAGGCACAGAGCTCAGAAACCGTTCGCGCTAATGAAATTCCTCGTCGTAAAATGCTCCTAGAACATTGGGAGTTTCGAACACTGAGGACAATAGATCTGGTGTAATTCTACTGTTCTTCTTGTAAAAAAAAGAAGAAGAAAAGCCATCTTTGGGCATGACCAACCAAGAAATCGTCCTTCACAGTCAGGGACGCGGACTTATAAAAAATATTGGGGGGGCCCGGGAAAGCTCATGAATAATAAATAAGCTCATGAATATGCAAATAAAGTGGCACCGCCTCCTCGTGAGCGAATAGGGGAGAGCGTGCTGCGCCTATTAATCAGCTCCAAAGGAAATTGGGTGGAGCTTTTGCTCGGGAGGGAGGGCAGGAGGCATGCAGCCCGCCCCTCCCTGTGCATTTTGGGCTGGGGGAGGGGCGGCGATGGCGCTCTGCTGGAGGGGCGCCGGAGATTATTGGGGGGCGGAGCCCCCCCAAACGAATTTTTGAGGGGGCTCGGGCCCCCTCAAGCCCCATGGAGTCGGCGCCTATGTTCACAGTCCTAGTGAAATGAACAAGAGGCGCATGAGAGCATGGGTGCCTTTTTGCGTGGTTCCCATAAATTAAAATGGACTGTGTGTAGGTGAATATCTTAGAGTGCCCATTGTTTGGAAAGGTGGGTTGTGGTGGTAGAACTCCACTCACCAAAGTAGATTTAATCAAAGTTTCCGCCCCCTGGATAAGTATGCACCCAGAGTATGTTTTGAAAAGTTTCCTTTCTTTGCCATAAGGGTAGCTGAAGTTAGAAATCTCAATAATAAACAGCACCTCCAGTTGTCATTGATCATTACTGGCACGCTTTCTCTCCCTTTTTCTCAAACATGGCATCTTAACAGTAGCTTTAGGAGCACAGCCAATATATTCTTGCCTGCTGGTTACTATCTAGCTGTCTGGCCCATTCATACTTATTGCAAAGCTTCGGGCTTATGTCAGGTGATTTCACGTTAAATTGAATTAGGCTGCATTAAGGAGAGATGAAATATTTGTCTGCTGGTAATTCTGACAGGGTTCCCCGCCCCCCGCCTGACATAAATGCCTGTCTCTTCTCTCGGGAAGGGATGAAGACCAGTTGCGAAATGGCTCTCCAGTTACTCAGTTACATTTTGCATGATGTATTTCGGTAATAGGGAGAGCCAAAAGAACGTGGTTGTTTTATACCATAGCTCAATAGCTTTGCTTTCAGAAGGTCCCAAGTTCTGCCCTTGGCATTTGTAGGTAAGGCTGAGAGAGAACCTTGCCTAAAACCTGACTTAGTACAGTGGTACCTTGAGTTACAGACGCTACAGGTTACAGACACTTCAGGTTACAGACACTTCAGGTTACAGACTCCGCTAACCCAGAAATAGTACATCGGGTTAAGAACTTTGCTTCAGGATGAGAACAGAAATCGTGCAGCAGCAGCAGCAAGAGGCCCCATTAGGTAAAGTGGTACCTCAGGTTAAGAACAGTTTCAGGTTAAGAACGGACCTCCAGAATGAATTAAGTTCTTAACCCAAGGTACCACTGTATATAAAACATCTTAGAATCACAGAATTGTAGAATTGGAAGGGACCACAAGGATCATCTAATCCAACCTTCTACAGTGCAGGAATAATAATTTTATTATTTTTATACTGCCCATCTGACTGGTATTGCCCTAGCCACTCTGGGCAGCTACCAACAAAAGCGTAATAAAACACCATCTATTAAAAACTTCACTGTACAGGGCTGCCTTCATATGTCTTTGAAAAGTCAAATAGTTGTTTATTTCCTTGACATCTGATGGGAGGGCGTTCCACAGGGCGGGCGCCACTGCCAAGAAGGCCCACTGCCTGGTTCCTGTAACCTCACTTCTCATATTGATGAAACCAGTTTCTATGTATCTTACATTGTATTTAGTTTATGTATTGGATTGCATGTTTATCATACCCTCTCTTTGTTCTACATGTGCACTGCTCTGATACAAACATGAAATGGTTTCCTACTATAAGAACTGCTTGCAATATTTATGAAAATGTGTGGAATTTTTGCCCGACAGGTGGCCTATATTTATGATTTTAAAAAATCGGTTTAAAAAAATCTATAGAGGGAAGGATGCAAACTGCAGTGTTTGGGGGCAAGAATGAACTTCCCTCAGTCCTGAGTTGCTTGCCTTATGCAGAGCAAGATTCAACCCTTGCTTCCCATTCACAATTCACAAGCCTGCTGAATTGATGTAACTGAAGCAGGGGTCAATATAGCTTGCTCTCATAAGGTCTACCATCTCCTTGAATTGCTTTTGCAGGAACACAGGTGGGACCTGCAACAAAAGGTTGCAGCGTGGCGTGTTCCTCCTGTAGAAATTACTAATTCCATTACAACCCTGTCCTGGTATACACATAACACTAAAGCCATGATTTGGTTAACAAACTTTGAGTTAACCATGAGTTTCCCCACAGTTGATCCAACAAACCATGGCATGCTTCTCCAAAGTTTAGTTTGTTTTCCAGCTATTCTTGTCTTGTGCCTTTGTTGCTTGGTGAGAGAATGGGAAGGGGAGCCACTGGAATAATTTCCTATTTCCAGGGAGCTGTTTTGCTTCCATAATCAAAGAACCTGTTAAGTTGTGGGCGAACATAGCAGACGACACAGCGATTTCTCCAGAGCAGCTCTTTATTTGTAAGCTGGACAGAACTGAACAGCAAACAGCTCAGCCGGCCTCCTTTTATAGGCAGCTGGCTGTCAACATTGTAGCAACAACAACCCAGGGTTTCCCGTCTAAAATAACTGACGTGGACCTGAGTGAAAACTATCTACAGTATCGCCCTGCTGGCCCAGGGTGAGAACTTCAGTACATAACAGAACCATAGAGTTGTAGTGTTGGAAGTGTGGGAATGTTGAGGAAGGTAGGAGAGGATATATTGATTAAATATTATCCCTCTTCACTCACGCTAGTGAGCAAGCCGTAGAGAA